GATTTTTTTGTAAATTTCTAACTGTAGTGAAGTTTAGTGTTAAAAACTTAAAGTAAAAACACATGTTAAGTTTTATAGATTTATTAATTGAATTTAAATTAAAACTACTCCAAATAAAATTTTGTATCTGTTATATAAAATATACGTAACATAAAAAAACTGAGCAATAAGTAAATGTTTTATCAACATTTGGCGTCAATTTTGTATAGTTTAATCTTAAATATCCTCGGCTAATGATGTTCAGTCTGTTTCTTTTTTTCGTTAGGAGATTTATAACAGAGCTGAATCCCCTTTCCACTAGGTTTGACGATGGAAAGGAAATTAAAAATTTCCTCGCTATATTCCATAATACGGGATAAGTAACGGGTATGTTGTTTTGTAAATAGGTACTATCAATGTATGTTGAATGTGGATCCCCATTTTCATTTCATGGACCCCAGAATTTTTTTTTTTCGCTGTTGTAGACCCCTTGTAGGTTGTCATAGACCCCTGGGGGTCGATATAGACCACTTTGGGAATCACTAGTTTATGCAGTCAAGTTCCTTTTTGTGCTATTTATTAATTATGCGGTTTTAAGTCCACGATTAGTCCGGTTATAAACATTTTGGCGGAACCGATTATCCGGACTTCACAAGGTATTGCTGTAGTTACAATATTTAAAAAAAACTCATTAAAAATATGTAAATTAAAACAAATATTTATATCCGATACCTTAGCAGCATCTTTAGGAGAATTTATTTACGCTAGTTATGCCAAACCGTGATATTAAATTTCGTCAAAAGAACGCAATTGTGTCAGGCATTTGTCAGATGTGTTGTTCATACATAATTCTCACATGTTTTATTTAAAATTTAGATTTTCCACTCTTGTTGGGACAACCCTTACAATAATTATTATAAAAACATCTTTAACATGGAAACGATCCATTTTTGCAACCTTATTTAAAAAAATATTGAAGTTTAGATGGATAATGCAGATTTTATCTCCGTTGAGCCCCCTCCCTAACTAAGACTATATTCTCAGTTCAACCCCGTAACTAAGATTTAATTATATAATACAAAAGTGTCGTCTTATATGTAAGAAGACGTACCGAATACAAAATAATATTCTAAGGGTAGGGGCTAATTTGCCATGTGGGGTAAACGTTAAGGGCGTCGGCATCTTACAATTGTTTGAGGAGGTTAATTGTTGGTGGCATAGTTTTTATAGTTAAATTCCCTACTGTAACAAACCTCCCTTTTAAGAAAGTTGCACAAATTGGTTGTAAAAACTAGCAAAGTATGAGAAACCCAAGAGTTTCTCCAAAAAGGGTTTTATTGCCCTATGCAGATGTTTGCAAGTGCCGATAGGTTTGGTTGATGTTCGTGGGAACTTTCCATAAGGCAGTACTTATTGATACACAGTACACATAGTACTGTGTCCATAAGTGGATGGACACAACAGTATGTCAACCTAAAAATGAATGAAATACCTCTAATATTATTTGTATGGTCAATAGCCCTTTGTGTTAGTTAATTTTTTGAAATTATATATATTTATTTTGTATATGTTCTTTTTGTACGACTGAAGCAATAAACATTATTATTATTATTTGTTTATGTGGAAAATTTAAGTAATTTACGTCTTTTTTGTGGATTAAATTGTTTCCATTCGTCATTCGTATATTTTAAAACTTTTTATAAAAAAAGACATATATAATTTATATTGAGCTGAACCGTTATTTAAGTAATTTTCTTATCATGTGTGAATTTTCAATGTAGAAATACTATATGATATTTGTAAATGAGCGTATTTATACTCTCTCTTCAAAAAATTTAGTATACTTTAATTTATGATTTAAACAATTTTAGAGTGAGTGAAAAATTGGCGATACCTACACATTTCCTGTATGCTTAATTCGGCAGTAGCATTGCTCAAAATATCCTCAATACATTAATTATTTTTTGTTTTGTTTTATGATATCTTTGTAAGAATAAAAAGTTTAAAAAAACGGATATGTATACGTTGTGCTGTGGTGCAACGTGTTATAATATTTTGTTTTGGTTCCGCTTTCTAATGTAACCTCGGACGCGCAGGTGATACATGAACGCATATTTTATATGATACAATTTTTATTTTGCGTTTATTTCTGCTTCTCGTGTGATATTCTTGCCGGAAGTTGAGGCAAGCTGATTTCACTGCCGTATTTATTTGTAGATTTTAATGAAAATAATGCAGGGTGGTTCTTCCAATTTGTTTTGCATTTTCGTCAGAAGAATAACATAAACATCCTGTGCTCGAGTTGATTATTCTTAGTTACTTTGTAGTATACAGTGGAACCTCGCGTAACGAGCAAAATTAATTGTAAAAAAAATGACTCACTTAATGAGTGACGATGAGAAGAGAAGTCCCGTATTTCGCGCCTGCTACATCATTTTTAAAACTTGTGTACACATATTATGTGTATTTTTTAATATGTTTCGCTATGCGAGTATTTTACTATACGAGTAAAAATCCACTGTACTTTTTTCACGGTTTTTTGTTATTTAATTCGTAGAAGAAAAAAAATATAAATGTCAATCGAGATGACTATGAAAGTGACATTGACAGTTATTAGTTTTTTATTTGCTGATTCAAGTTTTGCGTGAGTCCGTGTGAATAGTTATGGGCAATTTTGTGCATAAAAACATAACATGCCAATTCTCGAATGGTTACCATTTGTGGAAGCATCCGGAAGTGACGCCGCATCCTCTGGAGGCGCCGAAGAACGATCCGTTGGAGGGGTTCTCCAGGCCGCGGAAAGTGCGTACCATGAGGCACACCCAGGAGGAACTAGAGTCCGCAAAGATCCCTTTGAAGAATCGCGACTACTGTGCGCACGAGCTGCTCAAGTTCAAGGCGTGTCGGAAAGACAAGTGGCCGTTTCCGGTGTTCTGCAAACCGGAAAAGCACGCCTACCTGAATTGTATGTACGAGGACTTCGTGTTGCGGATGAAGGAGTACGAGCGTGAGCGGCGCTTGATGGTTCGAGAACATCGACGTGAATAGCTTTGGAACTCGTAATTGGGTCGAGCTCAATTTGAATTAATATGTATATACGATTTTGTAAGCTTAATTAATTAGGAAACATCTCACGATGCGAACGAAAATAAAAGTTGTGATTTGGTAATTCTTTTTGGGTTTCGTCAAGTGTAAACGAAATATATGTATTTATGCAATTCGTGGTATCTAAGTATGATAGAGCGAATACTAATTATAATAAAACAAGAAAAATAAAATGTGGAATTATATGGAATTAATTAATTACAGTTATATAAAATAATTTATATGAAAGATTTTAATACAAAGAGCTTGAAAACTACCTTTAGACAGAAATGAATATTAAAATAAAGCAGATAACAAACTATGTGCTTAAGTTCTAAAAAATATTCTTTCTTAATTAAAACTTAGAATTATACAAATTATGAAATAAAATTATATGAATCAGTTGACTGCAATATTTATGAAAATGCCGAGAATTATGCAATTGGACAGTGGAACCTCGCTTAACATGCACCTCGCATAACGAGCATTTCGCTTAACGAGCAAAATGAATTGTAAGAAAATATGACTCGCTTAACAAGCGATCTTTCGCATAACGAGTAACGAAGAGAAGAGCAGTCCCGGATTGCGCGCCTTCTACATCATTATTAAAACTTCTACACATTATGTGTATTTTTGAATATGTTTCACTATACGAGTAAACATCTAGAAATTTTGGAACGGATTAAACTCCTTAAGGTTCCACTGTATTTGAATTCTATTTAGAAAGCATAGTTAAACTGTAAGTCTAGTATAAAATATGTATTTGTACTTTCAATGAAGATCATTTTTCAGATTTTCGACTAGAAATCTATTACATTTTCTATTGCCATATAGTCTAAAATTATATAACATGGAAAATAATTAGCTTCATTTTTCTTATAATATAACAGAAAATATGTTTCTTTAAGAATATTTTTGAATCAAATATGTTTTTTATATGAGTTTATAACTAAGAAAAACATAATTATCTAATAGAACAGATCCACTGCATTCACATATGCATGCATCTGTTTATTATGTGAACGAAATGCATGACGTCTCTACATATTCAAAACAATAGACATAATTTAATGCATTGTTCACATGGCAGCTACAAAAAACAAATGGCACACGCATTATCAAATCAATATTGTTCATTTGCAACATTGCTCCATCATTATTAATGTCCCAGCAGTTATGATTTTTTTCATTCTCAATTTTGGCTTAGTCTTTTAGTATTTTCATAAAAATATGTATTATCAAAAATAATACTAAGTTGATTGTTTCTTTAAAAATATTACAATTATTTTGAACATTCTATAATATTCCAACTAATTTTCTGTAGTGCTGTTACATAGCGTATATCGTTACTTCAATAAATTTTTTTTAATTATCCTTTAGAGACATTTTGTTATTAAATTTGCAAAAATATGCAACAACTACCTACTTTTGCAATTGTTTTTATATTGTAAAGTTTGTTGTGTGTGAATTGAGTATATTTTTCTCAACTTTTAATACTTCAAATTACAATAAATATTAAAAATAATTAGTGCAAATATTTTTTGTTAATGATATTTCTGTGAAAGAAATTAGTATGTCATTAAGGCAAACTAATATATCTTCTAGCTCATAATATTTAATTTTGTATTAACTCTACTTAGTCAAATAGACGATCGAGTATCTATTTGTATTTATCATGTTTATAATAATTAAATTGATTATAAACATGATAAATATTATTAATAATTCCTTTTTGTTTCTATTAAGTGAAAACAATTCTGTAATATAATATTTGTTACTGATACTCAAATGTACAATGAACTTGATATTTTTTAGACTCATATATTAAATATTGAAGCGGTTCAGTTAATCGAATCTAAACGTAGTGTTTATTGTGGATATAGTGGTGAAGCAAATTGTGTAAATGATATGCACATGTTAGGATTATTTGCAAAATTTCAATTCTAATTTAGAATTTAATACGCATTATGTAATATCAGTAATATAATATGTAACGCAGTACTGTAGACATCTTGTCAAATTAATTACGTTCAATTGTCGCTAATTACGACTAATTTATTAGTCGCGCATATTTTTTTTCTTGTTACGTTTTTTTTACTCTTCCTCGTCCACCTCGCGTTCAAGAATTTTGCATTCGTTTCAAGGATTCAGTCATTATGTTATGCGACTAGTGCATGTTCAATTCAATAGCTCGATTGTTGTTTGTGTTCCGTTTTCCCGCGGTGCTCTTACCATTTTGCATCCAAAGTTACCACCACTTAGAGACGTTATTATCGATTTTTTTTGTCACCATACGCAAAATGAGGGCCAATGATCCCCCGTGCCTGAGGTCAAACTTTTCGAAAATGAAACGATTTATATCAGTTTTCACCTGCTCGCACCACCTGCATTTACTTTAACTACCTGTATGTCCCAGTCTACATACTACATTGCGTTGTTTTGTTCATCTCTTTTTAAATCTCTCAGTTTCTCGAAGTGGAAGATTTATACCATTAGAAATTGAAGTTGCTGAGGATAACGTATTACCCGCTAGGTGTAATCTTAGTTGAAACTGCTATTTGTGGATTTCTTTGTCGCATCTTATTCCTGGCTTCTCGCATGCCATAATTTGGTAATAAGGGGGGAAATCGCGTATTTTTAGAACAGACGCGAATAAATCCAGACAGGAAGTCCGTCGCGACTTCTCTGCTTACCGCTTCTTCGTTCTGCTCTTTTTGTTGTTGTTTTGTTTGTTAAGATAAAATTGTCAATGCGTACGGACAGAACGGAACAATCGCAGGAAGCAGACTCCGTTTTCGCCATTTCCGTTTCATTCTAATCGCCATTCAATTTCACGCAATGACTTATTAATCTGCTACCACGCATACTTGATTTCAATTGTTTAAATAGTTGCACTTGTCAACTTTGCTTCCTGACATCTATCATACTGTTACGTCGATTCTCTGTGTCAATTCTCGCATTGGTAAGTGCAATACTTAAACAAGTAAAGATTCATACAATTAAGAAAGATTATTTGAAAATTTAGAAGAATCGATGAAACTGATGAAACAAATAAATATTGATTGATGTTTTTGATGCAACAATATTTTTAAATTTTGTTAAAGTTTATACAAATAGAATATCTTCACTTCTTCGTAAATGCGAAATAAAATGTATATTAAGAATTTGGACAATATTTGTTTGTTGGAAGTAAATATTGTTGCAAAGCATCTGATTAAAGCGTATACTAAACTGTTATTCTGTTTCTTTCGCTAAAATTCCTCATTTATCATCGTATATGGTAAAATAAGTACGAACATAATATATAATATCAATGTGATTTAACAAAATCTAGGAAATATATTAGTTTTATTTATTTTAGTTTTTATTTTATTAGATTTTACTAGTAAGTAATACATATAGTTATGGAAACTCAAGATTCTACAGTAGTTATCAACTAGTTTGTGATGTGTACATATTTGTTTAATGATTCTCAGAGTTTGTGCACTAACACGAGAATTGTAGACTCGAGTTCAGAAATACTATCTTTTTACATTTATTTACATTGTATATTATCGTGTACTCGTAAACTTTTAAATTAATATGAACATGCTCTTGTTGTTGCATGAATGTTTATAAATAACTGCACTAATAATTGATTTTTATAGTTTACCGACTTAATATGTTTTATTCTTATTATTTTTAGGAAACAAATATAAATGGAGTTATTTATATATTGATAATTAGTCCAAAGACCATTATAATAGAATTATCTCTCACTTTATTACTAAACCTCGCATAACGAGTAACGAGAAGTCCCTGACTGCGCGCCTGCTACATCATTTTTAAAACTTGTGTACACATATTATGTGTATTTTTGAATATATTTCACTATACGAGTAAAAATCCGGAAATTTTGGAACGGATTAAACTCGTTAAGCGAGGTTCTACTGTATTTTGTGTGCATTCCTGTGTAATTTTTAATATTTCTAAGTATTATTTATCAATATAGTATACACATTAGAACTAGAATAAATGTTATATTATTCATGGCAATTGCATGAAAATAACAAATTAACGATTGGTATATCATTGATATTTAAGACCTTTCAGATGAAAACGTTGAATAGGTTATCACATCTTTCTCCAGGAAATGTAAAGATAGACTTAATTCCCATTGGCAGTGAATTTGACAACACATAGTTTAAAACAATTCGAACGTAATTTCGTTTTAATGAGACATTAAGATAATTACTCACATAATATTAATTTCAGTTGATAATTGTTAAAGAAACCACCATAATTTATTCAACGTTCAAAGATTAATTGATTATTGTAATCGAATGTTATTTATTTTACATCTATCGAATTTAGGACATCCTCGGCAATTTGTTGTTTAGAACTCAGACATATCATTAGATGTCGCACAAATCGATTTAAGTTACTCCAAATATTGATTGATACGCGTACCACTAGTAGTCCATTGTTGAACTCTTAAAACTTACGCGATAATCGGCAGCCGGCGTTCACTTCGTAGCAAATGTGTACGATCGTAATGTTCTTGGCCTTAAGTCAATATCCTCGTTCAATAACTTTTACCGCTCTAATAATAGAGTTGTCTCTCTGATTCTAAGACTCTTGTTTTCCAAACAACTCCCCAATCGTGCTTCAATCTTTGGCCTTATTAAAAAAGATGTGTAAGCTGTGCGTATTCACAACAGTTATTTGGCCATAGAAGAATTACGTTTTTTATTAAATATAATTTGCCAGAAAAGTCCTCCGGCCTTTAGTATCTATTATTTTAGAAAGAGCGGCAGAAGAGAAAAGAGCAAAATAGCTCGCATACCGCTATTTGAAATTACATAACACTATTTCCTAATTGATTTTCATGGTCTGGAAAGATGAAAAAAATCTGGAATAGCAGAATGTGCACACGCACGTGTATAAATCGTAATGGGTTTTATTGACGATTTATCAGAAACAAT